TAATAAAACTACTGTGATTTTATTTTATCGTAAATGAACATTACGTGAAGGCAATTATACAAGGCCTAGTTGTGTTTTCATTCAACTGGCTCACTTGTGCACAAGGTTTGCAAGAATTATTTTCTAGAGACTGTCGATGGGTGTGCATATATATAGATATACACACACACATTCATCGGCATCATATATATATGTAAAATATATAAAAATATGGCGGCTTTGCTCTATGCAAACCAGCAACCTTTCATTAACTTTCTGCAATTCAGGATCTTCCCCCTAGACCAGTACTTTCCAGAACATTCGAGCCTATTACGTAACTGCTTCTATAAATTAACGAAGTCGCGCCATTTGCGTCAGATTGATTGCTTCTCTCCTCCTGCGCTACAACACTTTCGCTGCTGCTTAACGCATCTTTCCTTTGTTAGAATAGTTATGACGCAGAAAGTTTAAATTGAGTCGTACTTAGTTTAAATCACTACTGATTATGTAATTTGGAGAATTTCATCTAAAGAAAAAATGATCTGCGGTGAAAATTGAAATAAAGATATGGAATAGTAAAAAGTGAAATCCCTTCTGTGTCGTCATTGGATGCTGCCTTAACACTCAGCCACAACAATGTCCGGAACATGTGCCCGACTGCTAAAATATCACATATATATGCGTGCGTGTGTAAAATATCTACTTTCTAATAATAAATTAACAATAGTCCTTTAACTCTTCTTTCACTCTCTTCTTCATTCTAAAAGTAGCAAAGTAATAATTGCTCTAATACAATCCTTACTTCCTATAATTCTGAAAAGTGATCCGAAATGTAATCTCTATAAAAAGTCTTTTTTATGCTGCGCAGTCTTGCTCTCGTTTTTGCCACCACTTCTTTTTGCTGACTGTTTTCGGTCGAACGTTTGTTTTCCCTTCTTTTCCTACCGCTAGCCACGCAGATTTTACTATATATTCACCTCCTTATATATATATATGTATAATAGAAGTGTTTTAAATGACGAAAATGCTCAGGTTTTGACAATACAAATTTAAAAACAAATTACCTTCGAAAAATAACGAAATCTAACTTTTAATGCCGTCTCCCAGGTCCAATACTTGTATTTCGGAAGGTTTTATACTCGCTATAAAAAAACAGAATTGTAAGAAGTTTGACCCAGATATTTAATTTTCAAATTTTCAGTTTTTAATGTCATTTTCAACTTTCCTGGAGGAATCGATTTATTAAGTTAGAATAATTCAAGGACATAAGTTTAAATAACGTGCGGGAAAAAATGTGTGTAATTTAGTAGGCATATTGTCTCCACATCATATTTTTTAGTTAAAAACTATTATAATTTTTAAAAAAATCTGAAAAAATTAGCTTTCGAAAAAGTGTTTTAATTACAATATTTACCATGAAGAGTAAAATGTGTTTATTGGCATTTCCTGTGGTGAAGAATATCGTTATTTCTTTGCAAATAGGCATTTGCAATAATCTTCTTTTAATGTGAAACATGTGTAAATGTATCTCGACCTTCACTTGATTTCTATACATGTACTTTAATGCTTTTCACACTAACATGTTCTGCAGGAAAGAAGCAATTGCTGCTTGGTAGCTTTTCTGTCAGTTAAGTCCTCAACTATAAAAGACAGAACATTGTTCTGCTTGAAAGCATGTTTCATGAGAGTTTCCCATTATGATTCGCCCACAGTTTAAGAATAACTGCCGTATAGTGCTTCCCTAGGAAAACGACTAGTATTTCTTAAAATGTAAATAAACATTGATGTCGAATATCACTTCTCTAAGTCATCAGTTACCATTTACAATGGGCGAAAATCATCTGGAGCCGTAGGTAATCATCATAGAGACTTTAATGATTTAATCCAGTCTAATGATGTATCCAATCTAATGTAATGCCCAGTGTAATCCAGTCTAATGATGACTGGACTATAGACTTTGTGATCTTGTAGTGTTACTATACGGAAAATAAAAGATTTTAAAATGGACAGCTTTGAAAAAATTTGATAAACAAAGAGCATAAAAATACTTTTGCTTTTTTGCATACTTTTGCTTTTTAAAAGGGTGATAAAAATGCAATATGTAATAGCGAATTTATACTTTAATTATTCAATTTAACTTAAATAATGTTGAGTTCAGAAAATCGGGCTTCTCTGAAAATAAAAAATATGCCTCCAGTTTATGTCTAAAGCGTATTACCATAATTTAAAAATATTTTTATACTTTCTTTTCTTTTACTCAATCCATAAGCAGTTGGCATTAATTGCTACTTAGAAGCTAAAAAAACTAAACGACACTAATAACAGCGGAAATAAGAATTGGAATGAGTTTGAATTCCTTTTCACTTAAAAAAAAAGCCTGAAAGCTTTCAGGTTTTATATTACGCACAAAGGGGCGTTTTTTTAGCGTTTTGAGTTTTACTTTTATTTATTAAATACCATATTCTTCGCACTTAAACCATAAAATTCAATTCAACAGCAATATCACAAAATATTTAAAAGAGCATATCTTTAGAATTTCCAATACACAGTCTGGCGCGCTATAGATAAAAATGTTTTTTTTTTTTTTCCTCTCCAGTACAGTGTTGCCATTGCTCGCTTTGAAATCGCTAAGTTTCTTAATAAAAAAAAAAAAAAAAAAAAAAAAAAAAAAACTCATAAATGCTTTACAAAATGAAAAATAATTAAAAAAATTCTAAATGTGGGCTTCCAAGTGCCCATATTCGGGTGGAGACGTACGTTATTCAAAATTTGATGACTCTAGGTATCGTTGTTTTATCACAATGCGAGAAATATACATACATTTATGCAGATTCTTCATTATTTAATACCTTTAAATATAATACAGGGCGATAATATTTGGTTGTAACAATCTGAAAAGTGAAACGGGCATTTAAAAATTTCCAACGCAAAATGCCAAAACGAAATTAATAGCCCTCTGAGCTAAAAATATCCGCCTTCTTTCCCTTTCCCTCTCTTCCTTGATATAACATGTTTTCACTCATAAAAGATTTTGCACCTTAGCTGTTTTTGGTAACATTCCAAACGATTACCTTTTTGATGATAGTAATGAGTTTTCTTTTCCTTTCTTTTTAAAGCACAGTATAGCTGGAATAATCTTCCGAATTTTTATTACATACTTATTGATATTATCTTAAAATTAAATAACACGTCACGTAAAATGACACGATATAATCTAAAAGAAATTTACTTTTGTAAACAGGTGTTCGTCTCTTCAAGTGACAAGTTAAAAACCAGTAATTCTCTTGACATCATCTCGCGAATTCTAATGAAATCTGGCGATGTAGCACTAATTAGAAAGTCGAGATTGGATACACTACTTCGAAACATCTGTTATATACTATTTTATTTTATAAAATTTTATGAAAAATAAAAACTAATTATAAGGAAAAACAGTATGAAAAAGTACGTATTAAATATTAGCTAAGTACATATTTAATACGTACGTATTTAATATTCGTTAAGTTATTTAAAATTTGTGAAGCAAATAACATTTATTACGGTGTTTACAATTTCATACGCAATGATAATAGTTTAATGCAAAATTTTTCATTAAAAATTTTTTAAAACGCCTACTTAAAAATATTATTTTTAATATAAGATGAATTTTACAGTTTTAATCTTGAAAATTAAAATAAATTATTTTATTCGATTCAGAATTAAATAAAGTTTAATTTTTATTTTTTTTATTAGTATAATAAAAAAATAATAATTATTTCGTGCAAATAAAACTACTTTATCTAACAACATAGTTATTTAATGCCTATTTCTCCGCATTAATTTACATAATCAAATTACTTTCTCTATACTAATTTATTTAATGAAGTTACCATGTTTCCATAAATACCGAAATTACAAAATTCGGTAAATTTAGATCATTTTAACTTTATACATTTGTCATCACTAAACACGCATATATATATATTTTTTAACTTACTTATATTTTATAAATGTAGTTCCATGTCCAAATAAAATTTCACAGTTTCAGCCTAATATTGTATCATACTTCAGACTGGCAAATTTTATATTTTTGAATCTGAAATGAAGGTTTAAGGCTATGATATATAATCTTTATCTTTAAAGAGTAATATTTTTAATTAATAATAAATTTGTTTTAATATGAAAATAACGCAATTATAATAAATTAAATAGCTAATAGTAAGCGCTATAAAGAAGTGCCCAAATACTCACAAATTAAGGCTAATTATCGCCCTTCCAATAGCTCTTTTTAAGTTAAAATTTTAAATTGTAAAAATAAATTTTTAAATAAATAAATAATAAATTATAAATAAAACTTTAAATTGTAAAGATCTCCTTTTTTAGAACTTACACAATATACAAATGAGAACAAATGCAGGAAAAGAACAAGTAAATAAATCTAACAATCTCATCTTTAAACCATATTGTTAAAAAAAAAGAGAGAGAGAGACTCTCATCTAATGTATTTCATTTTCCTATAGCATTATCTTCCCTCTTTAAAATATCGGACCATGTCATATACTTTTCCTTCCCTTATTGCTATTTGACACCAGCGCTCTTTTCTCTTCAGTAAACTAAATTTCATAATAATAACACATTAAAATTTAAGGGAACCTTAATATTAACACATTTAATTTTACGATAATTCCATCAGATTATTTCATACAAAAACCAAACAAATCTTGATTTAACCTGTTGTGTTGAGTAGTATATGATATTAAAAGGGCAGATTGTCAATAAAAATGATTCACGAACGAAAATCATTATTAAAATAATGTAGTATTATAGCAGATGTAAGAGGTCAAAATCTAGTCTAAAAATTTTTTCCCAGTGTCAATTCTTCGATGAAAAGTGGTCTCAAATACAGAGAATATGCACAAAATCTAGATACCTTGCCCCTTTTTAATCCCAAGGTTGTGTAAAAAATATGGCAACCCTATAGACTAGTTGTGTGGTGTTTTTGTGTTGCATGAGGCCGTGGCGGTATGTTTATGTTTGTTAGGTTAGATTCTGCAACGGAGCTAAAATTGAAGTTATTGTTACTGTTGTAATCAAATATGTGAAGAATTTCGTTTGTTCTTGCAATATTTGAAAATGAAAACAAGATCAAGTCGAGGAAATGCAGTAGATGATGATAGGGTAAGTTTGAACAAGATAGCGCAGTTCTATGTAAATTGCCACTTCAAACAATAATGATCCGTGATACAATTTTTTTTGCACCGTCTGTTTCATTTTCGGGATCATTGATCGATATTGACTCCCAAGAACTGAAAATGAATTTTCCTTACATTAATATAAAGAATTAATTCTGTACAAATAGACAAAACTTATCGTAAAGGCTTAGTCTTTGTTCTCTTAGTTGCGAAAAAAAAGTACTTTGTTCCCTTGGTATTGTGAAAATTCTGTGCAAGTTTCCATATGTGTTACGTTTGGTATTTTTATCAAATAAAAGAAACAAAATATCACTAAATTTGAGAAAAATAATTACTAGGTGTAACTTTATGAAGTATTTTTATGCAGAATGCATTGTGAATGCAAAAACTTCTGTGTTGTGAAAATAGTGTTGCTTTATCATTGAAGTTAAAAGTTGCATAATATTTTAAACTTGGGTTTTCATAATGCTATGTTTTAATAATTTAGCACTGTTTTGAATAATTGAGAGTACTGTGCTTTACAAATTTTCTTGCATGTTTTATAGGGTCAGTATTACATTTTTATAATTTTTTGTTGTGGGAAAATATTAATAAAGCAGTAAAAATTTTTCCATTAAAAAAATATCTTTGTGTTGTCTCAAGAATTTTTGGTATTCTGATTACCCACAGCCACACTGTCATTATTTGGTAGAATTTCCATGCATTTATGAGTTTGTATGAGACAATACCTTGGCTATCCCTTCATATACCAAGCACACATTGAGTTTGCATGTATTTACATTCTTTATATTAAACTGAACAGTATCTAACAGCCGTAAAAGTATAAATATCTGTACTAACAACCGTAAAAGTATATAGATTTTTTATTTTTCTTATAAAATGCTGCTTTTGTACTACATATGAATTTTAATTCTTGTATTAGGTAAAGGTAGTCAAGCAGAAATTTTTTGCCAGCGAGTTAGAAATATTTCATAGCAATGCAGATAATTAAAAAGTATTTAATTTATTAGAGATTGTTAATAATAATAAATAACACTTTGCAGTTTATATTTTTCTGATAATATACTTTTATTTTACATAAACCTTTTTCTCTCCTTCCTTCCCAGCAGTCTGTGGTTAGTGAAGTTAAATTTAGTACTGTTCTGTTATCGGGACGGGATTCAGAAATGTGTGTGTATATAAATGGATGGATGTATGTATATATAAATGTACATATGTATGTGTATGTATATATATGCACACACACATATATATATATACATACATTTTCTGAATCCAGTTTCAATAACAGAAGAGTTAAACTTTTAGTAAAATAAATTTATGAAATTTGTCTGTCATATATGAGTAATTTGTATTTTGTGGACAGGTTCAGACTTAACTATTACACTTTTACATGTTAGACAAAATAACAAAATACCTCTCATTTTGACTTTTTCAGTTTAGAAAAATGTTTGTTAAACCATTATCAATTTACCGATACTTTATTTAATTTAGAGATGATCTTAAAATTTTGTATTAATAAAGTATGTAATAGTACTGCATAGCAAACTATTCACTGATAGATATACAATCAAATTTCCATAACCTGAAATATAAGGGAACAAAAAATTGAAATGTGAAAACTTCACATTACAGATATGCAAAGAATAGTTTATGTTTAGATGTTTTTATTGGCCTTTATCTGAATTTGTCCAGAAACTGACTGATTACAACTTCTTTGAATGAAGAATCATTTCAGAAATGCTTCTTCTATGCTCCACCTTTTTCAATTTTTTCGTCATATGCAAATTTTTTCCATGAGCAGAAATTATATAGAGTTGATTTTTTTTCATATGGTTAGCATGAATGATTTTAACGGTTGGTATTTTTTTTTTTAACTTGGCAGAAATTCTGGAAAAAATATGAAAAATACAAAAAGTCTTGATCAAAAATATCCATACAATTCATTATGTCTGATTTTCATATTCTTGGAATGTTCACTGTAACAGTATTAAAATACCATTAAATTTATAGAAAATTGAATAGGACTCCAAGGTTTGTTTGTTATAGTGGGGTTCACATGTATTGCATATTAAATAATCTAAGTTTGTCAATTAGGTATTTTATCTACTATTTGAGGGATTGACTGAATTGGCCGCTTTAACAAGGAAATGCTGAAATTTTATACTTGATATATCTTGGGTATCAGAAGTACATTTTATTTATAACATATATGGCATAAAATAAGTGTTGCTGCAAATAACAGTAAAATAACTGTTGCTGAAAGATTTTATTAAGAAGTGGAGTTGGAAAATCTGTTTCAGAACCAATACACTTTACTGAGTAAATTTACTCCGATTAAAAAAAAAAGTGGAATTTAAGCTCTTTTCCAGTTCACAGATAGCTCCTGTTTGAAGTGTGGCAGGAATAGAGATCGTCTGTTCATCCAGGAACTGTTCTCTTTTCTGAGTTAGTGAATTTCTGATTCGAGAAAAAAAGAGCAGAGCTCTTGTTGGAAGCATGCCAGGAAAGTTTGGTTCCCATTTTAGGGAGAAAAGAATGATCTTCAGATTATGGTAACCAACCCTGCTGCAGCAACCTGCTAGTGTTTTTTTTTTTTTTCACCCATTTTGTTTTCACAAAGTAAAGGAATGGTTTTTTTTTTTTTTTTTTTTTAACTCGACCATTTTTTTTCCAACAATCTGCTAGCCGAATTATGCTTATGCTAGAACTTTTATGGAACAAAAATGCTTAATCATGACGAAGATTAGGTGCAAAATTGGGAGAAAGTGCCGAATCGTCCACTGCTTGCCGTGCTTTTAAGAATTGCACATACACGGTATCCATGTACACGTCAACCTATTTTCACTTAAAAAAAACATCCCAGAATTGCACAAAAATGGAATTGGGCACACTCTTGACTTTATCCATGTACACTGCTAAAGTCCTAGCTAGTAACCTTTATCCCCTTACCAAAATGTTGCCAAACTACCTGTTACCATATTCCAAAGATTAACCGAATGATTATCTTCTCTTGGTTAAAAATGAGTTTAATTTTTAGAATTACCCAACTTTTTGAAAGTTTTTTTTCTAAAATTTTATTTTTAGCTCTGTATGGAAAGGAGGTTTAAGATAATCTCAAAACTAATTCTAGAAATCAGTTCAGGGAGTTAGCATTTAATTGAGTCGATTCTTCTGATCCCATGGCTCGTTCGATTTCTGTTATTCGCTCCATCCTTGATAACTGATCTTGATTCACCCCTCATTCTGGATCGTTTTCACCTAGGTTATTGTTAGTGAGCAGTGAGTCATTAAAAAACAATTCATTTCAATCAATGAATGGTTTTTGATCTGTTCACATAAAAGAGCAGTTTGCTCATTTGTGTTAAAAAGTGCAAGTAAAATAACTTTAAATAATTTAACTTCTGTTAATGAACAATGTAATTTTATAATATTGAAATTAAATAAAAGGTCTTATAGATAATCAATTGGCTATTATATATCTGTGTATCCTTTTGTATCTCTGATCTTTTTTGTAAGAGATAGTATTAACTTAAAAAGTTGAAGCAAATCTGCTTTTATAACAGCATTTTGAATAAACAAAAATCAAAGCTTAGAAGTCTGCTATGTGACTTTTAAACATACTTAAGACTCTTAGCCATGACATAATTTATTATACACTACCCTACATTAAAAATGCAACATCAAGAAGGAATAGCCCAAAAGTGGGCAAACAGAGAGAGACATTGTATTATATATAAATATGAGGTAAGTATGTATTTCTAGTTTTGAACATTCTGTGTTATATTGAATAGTTCTGTTTGTAAATCCGGTACAGATATTGTCCAGTACATTTATAATTATCATTCTATTGCAAATTTTGATATTAACACTGATCTGAGTAGTCATGCCATGAAGTGAAGTTTGTAAAGAAAAACATTGTTGCCTACATAAGTGCTCTTTTCCAAGGAGAAAAAGAGTGAACTCTCGCAAAGCATATTTACAACGCAGTAAGAAGCTTTGCACGCTATTGTTTATCATATTTGCAGCACAAGAAAATGTTTTACATAGAGTAGGTTTTTTTTATATATATATATTTATAGCACAGCATAAAATACTGCACAGTTTAGTTTTTTTTTTTTTTTTTTATTATTTTTTTTAATTCTAACAGCACAGTGGAAAATGTTGCACTTTTTTTTTTTTTTTATTTGAAGATAAATTTTAATTTTTAAATTCAGTGCTATACCAGGTTGCCATCAGTAATCATTTGATAATTCAACAAGTGCTTTTATACACAGTGAACCAACCCAGTTCAGGTGAATACCTTTATAAAATGATTACTTCTGTAAATTTTCAGTGTCATGGTAAAATGACCAATTTTTCTGAGAAAATAAGCAGTATTGGACTTACCTCTGTATGGCGACTATCTATAAAAGAACAAAATTGTCAAAAACTGAGGTTTTACTGTTATGTTTTATAGTAATATTTTTAAATTTCTATGATTCTATATATATCTGATTCGACCTGAGTCTGGTCTTAAGCTTTGATCATCAAAAATAATGACAAACAATATTAAGTGTATATGCTTATGAACTTTTCAAGCAATTGAATAAGAATCTGGGCACTTCATGGTATAGCAGTGAAGAATATTATAATTTAGCATTTTTCATATCCTTTATTCAAAAAATTTTATTTTTTTTAAAAACATTCAATTTTACCCTTTTTCTTAGTAATTGTTTTGGAAGAAAGAAATCGGCTGTTTCAAAATGATGCAGAACTGTAGGCAAGGATGTTAGATATTTTCTATAAAAGAGGTAATTATTTAAATTTTGTTTTGAGATTCCCCCCTCCATTTTGAGAGGTATAAGATAAGTTATTAAAATTTTTTTATTGATTTTAACAACAATATATAAAAAGAACACAGTAATGCTAATGTATTTAGTATTTTTTTTTTTTCATAATGTAAAATATTTAAATATTGCAGAAATTTAAATTCTTAGTAAAAAGTATATTTGAAATTCATTTGAGCAAAATAACTGTATGCAAAGAATTTGGATTTTTATAGTCTTCAAAATTGGCCGAAAACTATTGATCCATCTGTCCTTTTGCTAGAAGTGGGAGTCCATTTTAGGAGTAGTCTGCAGATGTTTATGTATATATTTGTATCACTGAATATATGATCACTTTTTCATCAGTTTATTGGCAGAAATTCCACATGATCGTGTCTGAAGAGTAAAAAACCTGTTAGAATTGTGAGGTGCTGCTATTTGACTAAAGATCCTTCCTGAGACAAATGGATTGGAATGTTGTAATAAAGAGTTGCAGTTCTTTTTCTTATTGGGTGATTGGATTTGCAAATTTCCTATTCGTTCTTTGTCATTTCTGCTCACCCCTTTTCTTTCTGTATGGATCTAAGGACTGCAAACTTCCAAGATTTCTACATCAGGTTTTTATTTCATGGAATTATTTCAAAGTTTAATGGAAAGCCTCTCTTGTTTATCTTGCTTATAAGCATTTCATTCCTATTGTGATTTTGATTATTTCTGTCGTGAAAATTTTGTTTCTGGGCTGTATGTATATATATTTATTCCAGTTTTTAGCTTCTTCATAAAGATTTAGGTATTTGTGGGCACAGTCTCACTTCTTTGATGTTAGCTAAATCCTTTATTATTTGCCGGCTGCAGTTTTGCTGCAACTTGAATGTGCGGAAGGGTTCAGTCAGAATTGCTTATGTTGAACAAAAATCAATGTTTTGGACGTTAGTTGTTTCTTTTATCATTACATATTATTTTTCTCTATATTTTGTATATTAAGGTGACCAATTTTTTTACAGTGAAAAGGAGAACGAAAAAATTTAAGAAAACCTTAAAAAAAAAAGGTAAACATTCCCGTTATGCCTAGATCTGATTCTTCTAAGTATGACAATTTATTATTAAAGGAATAAATTTTCTTCAAGTCATTACTTATATTGAAGGACAAAATCGTTCAAAATAAGCCTATCTTCTGTGGCTGAAAAACAGTCACATTCAATCTTTTGAATCATTTTGTGGAAAATAGATGCCTTATTATGTACAAAATACATTAATATCTCTGATAATTCATAATTGAAAAAAGATTCCAGAATTTTTGGACATTTGTCTAAACTTAAAAAATATAAAAGGAGAGGCTCAAATAATTAGTGTTAGAGCGAGCTCTGTAACTTTGGGATAATCTGAAAGTTTTCTGTATGCAACATTTGCATCTTCACAAAATTGTTTTAAGTAGACATACGAACAGTAAAACGACTAAAATCCAAATAAATTGTCATTGTTGCTTCTACATCAATTGGCATGGCACATGATAGCATTTGACAAAATATGTGCATTACAACTTGTTTATAGTATTTTCTTTTGCAGTAAATCTTGTAATTTTACATAGACATTATTCATTCCTTTGTATCTTTGCCCACCAAAATTTGTGCTTGTATTATCAGCTCTTAGTGCAACAACTTTATATTTTAAATTGTTTTCATTTATTACTCTGAATGAAAATTTCAGCAGTTTCAGCCGCATTCGATTCTAAATTGAAAATGTTACTTGAATGCCCTTGGTAACATTATACAATGGTTATCATTAATTAAGGAAAAATCACAAAAATAGCGATAACTACAGTCAAAAGTCGGACTCGTTGGGACTTCGGCGATTCCAGATTATCGATTTTTCCGGATTATAGATCATCAGTTTAAATCTGGTAAGATGGCATGCAGAAATTATAAAATTAAAAATATGAAACCGTAATTTATGAAATAAAGAACAATTATGATCTAAAGGGTATCAAAATTTACAAAAAAAAAAAAAAAAAAAAAAAAAAGCTTAATATTTATTTGTTTACTTTATTAAACATTTCTTTCAATGTAAGTTGTTTTATGTGATAATACTTTCTCTTTAATTCTATAAACAGACATAATTTCTTGTTCAGTTGCAAAGTTCCGCTGTTCAAGTCCTATAATTGCTGTGTCAAGAATACATATGCCCTGAAGATAAGGATAGTGCTGACAGATTAACTTCCAATTCATTGCGCAACCCCCTCGCCGCAGAGCAGCGTGAAATATGCCCTTATCCATTTTTTGCGGCAATTCCACTTTTTGTTTAATGGACTTCGAAACATACTTTCGCTTTGTAGATCCTTTACATATTAGTAAATATATATTGGAAATTCTGTTTGACATAATCGAAAGTTCAAGCTTACTTTTATAAAATTGCTGTAACAGTCTGCAAAAAATAATAAGCTGGATCCAATTCGAAGATTAAGGAACAATGCAATCTGTAACATTAACTTAATTAGATAATTTTAGCTTAGCTTATGCCGTCTGTTATACATTAAATGCGCATGCATAAACGTATTATGCTCATGCGCACACGCATATTCACAGCCGTAAAGGTCTTACGCGCATGCGTCAACGGGACGCATGTGCAGAAAGTTTGTAGCTTTGAGTCCGGATTATGGGTGTCCGAATTAACTATTTTTTGACTGTATAAAATAATAAAAAAAAAAAAACAAAGCCAAACTATGTAAAATTTAAATATGTTGCCAAGTAATAGTAGTTGAGTAAAACTCCAATATGCAAATTAGTGGCACTGCACTTGGAATTCGTCATCTGCGAGGAGCATAAAAGTCCATGTTTGAGAGCAAGCCCACATATTTCATTGTGATAGTAACATCAGAAATTTGAGATAGCCAATTCGTAACGATGATCTCCAGGATCGTTTGCCTACAAAACTACGGTAGAAAGCCATTGGGAGACTAGAGGCAGGACAAAGTCAAACAGAAGTAGCTAGATGTCTAAATGTGAGTCCTTCTGTGCTTCATAGACTTTGGAGAGAATTTCAACCTAGGAGGTTCAGCCTAGGACGGCCAACTGCTACGACGAGCGCCGATGACCGATATTTGACATTATGTGCACTCAGGAATAGAACCGTTGCTCCGACTCTTCTTAGATCCTCCCTTGCTGCAGCCACCGGAAGGTTCATGTCAGCAACAACTGTGCGTAGAAGGCTTCATGAAGGTGGTCTGTATGGCGAGGCGAACAACCATTTGCATGGAGGACCGTTTGGATAATAGGAGGGACCGTTTGCAGTGGGCACGACAACATGTCCACTGGATGCCTGAGCAATGGAGGGCTGTTCTCTTTACGGATGAGTCCAGGTTTAGTCTAGAAAGCGATAGTAGGCGTTATTTGATATGGAGAGAACCCAGAACCCGTTATCATCCACCAAACATCCGTGAAAGAGATGCATATGGAAGGGACAGTGTCTGTGTTTAGGGTGGCATCTCTTTGGGTGGATGCACAGACCTCCATGTCTTTCCAAGGGGAACCGTAAATGCTCAGATTTATAGAGATGACATCCTTGATGTTTATGTGCGCCCATATGCCGGGGCAATAGGTGATGCTTTCCTGTTGCAGGACGATAACGCAAGACCACACAGGGCTCACATCGTAGATGATTATCTTCAACAGGAAACAATTATGCACATGGAGTGGCCAGCTCAATCCCCGGACTTGAATCCAATCAAGCAAATTTGGGATGCTTTAGGGAGACATCTAGCTGCTCTCAATCTATCCCCTCAAACCCTTGTCGCACTTGCAACTGCTTTGCAAGAGCAATGGCTCTCGCTTCCTATGGAACTGATAGACCGCATAATTGAAAGCATCACACATTGTTGAATGTGCTGTATTGCTTCTAGAGGTGATTATATTCCATATTGAAGGTACTTTTACTATAGCAAATTGACATCTTCGATTTGTTCATTGTATGCATGTGCTAGTTTCTCTACTACCATAATTGTCTGGTAATTTCTTTTTATGTTATTTGATACCTTCTACAGGTATTTTATCACAGTAATTTTTAATACTGATTTAATAACAGCTTCATATTTTGTCCTGGCTCATGAAAATTTAGCATTGTGAAACTTTTTCAATAATTTAATTGTGCAATCCATACTACAGAAACTTTGATTGTGATTTATGGTATGAAACACAAATGTTCCATCCGTTACAGCTAACTGTTTTTCATCTTCAGAATAATTAGAAGTTTTAAGAAAAAATTGTTACTTTACTACTGGAAGTTGATGCATCTAATGATTGCTTATGTTTGTTGGTGCTCAAGTCTTTCGTTGTAGCTGCTCTGCCTCCAACTGCAATACAAAATTCTTCTCTGCAAATAGTGAAAATAAAGGTGCCTCTCTTTGACATGAATGAAAATTCCTTTTTCAACTGATCGTTGAAATGGCATTTCCTGTTTCTTGACTTTTCCATCCCTTAAATGAAAAAAAAATTTAAATTAGAATATAAAGCTACACAAATGATGCAAGTACATTATTAATAAATAAAATTCATAATTAAAACTAAAACATTAATAACAAAATCGATGAAAGTTTACTAAATCTATATTTAAATTATTTTACACATGTGTTGAAAACAGTGTTCTGTAAAATTGAATTAATGAATTAATAGAACATGAATTGTACTTACCTGAGTATAATATTCACTGAGAAAGAAATAATTTTGTATTTCCGTTAGAAGTAAACATGAAGTATAATACAGTACAAAGTCCATAATCCGGACTCTTCGGGACTTCGGCGATTCTGGATTAAGGGTTTTTCCGTATTATAGATCATCAATTTAAATCTGGTAGATGGCATGCAGATATTATACAATTATAAATATTGTTGCGTGCATACGGGTTCGTTATGAAATGAATGCACAAGTCCGATGAAAAATGAACAAAAATTTATTATTATCACAACAAAAATGCTTAAATTTTCTCAAATTATC